GAGTGGGCTGGATAGGTTATATCTTGGTCAATATTACTGGTTGGTGTAGAGCTTGTTCCCTCAGCATAAAATTCTAAGAAAAAAAAACAAAAAGACTAGGAAAATAAAGATATAGAACTGTTGGTATGTACCTTTCCTTTAAGAATAGTATACTCATAAAGAATACAAGAGAAAATGTTAATGGTCAACAACTTTTTTCTTATGTATCATCTATTAAAGATTAAGCATGGGAGGCAAAACTGATAGCGGGAAATGTACACTAGTGGAGATGAATGGGTGTTGGAAGGCTGTATGACTGAAATCTAAACACAAGCAGCTTTGTAAGGGTCTATCTCACAGTGATTCAATAAATCACAATCAATCAATCACAACCATCTTGTTATTCGTTGATTGCCTCGAGCAGGCCCCAATAACATCTCCGTCGTCCTAGCCCTGAGATTTTTTTAAAAAGTGCCATATTCAAGGCTCTTTCAGAGTTAGGAGAATGAGACCCTTCATTGTTATTGGTATTTGGCATATTGGGTACGCCACGGGGAGTTTGCCAGACTCTGCCGTGTGAGCAGGTTACATTCGGTAGCCTGTCAGTTTGTCCAAAGTAGGCATGAGATGATAAGATGTCACATGGCCGCAAATGGGGCCGCACGCTTCCGGGAGCTGGGTTTTATAGTCTCTGAGTCTTGGCCGTTGATGGGATTACAGGGCGCCAGGGGGCCAGGTGGTGGGTGTGACCCCTGCCTACTGGAATTTGGAGGATCTGGGTGGGGGATGCTCAGCCCCAATCCAAGTAGGCTTGGAGATCTCAGCCCCGGGACCCGCGTGCCTTTGTTCCTCTGCCGGTACCTTCATGTGGGCGGAGAGTGGTCTCAGCATGGTGGTGGCTGGTTCTGGAGGTCTTCAGCTGCCGGAGCCCTGGTCGGGGTGGGGAGGAAAACTCAGCCCGCTCCCCTCCAAGGGGCCACAGCGAGGACAGCCAGGCGCGATTCAATAAAAATGAATAAAGATCAAGCACAAACTGCGACTTCATTAAAGTATCTCTTAACATTAACACTAAAATATTTATCAATAAGAATTTAGTCAGAAAATACAGTAGCCATCCCCCCGGATGGTGTCAATGACTCCTTCCTCCTCTAGTGACACCCACAGGTGATCTCTCCCCATCTTTCTAAGGTCTAATTCTACCCTCCTCGGGCCTGACTCCACCCTCCTCTGATCTGACACCACCTTCCTCTGGTCTGACCCCTCCCTCACGTGATCTGATCCTCATTAAGAGTGGGGAATAAGATCATGTAGCAGAAAAGATGGCGAAAGGTTACATCATGGCTGAGATTGAATTATTTTAAAACAATATTACTACTGTCTGGAGCGATAGCACAGTAGTAGGGCATTTGCCTTGCACGCAGCCAACATGGCCGACCTGAGTTCGATTCCTCCGCCCCTCTCGGAGAGCCCGGCAAGCTACCGAGAGTATCTCGCCCGCACGGCAGAGCCTGGCAAGCTCCCCGTGATGTATTCGATATGCCAAACACAGTAACAACAAAGTCTCCAATGGAGACGTTACTGGGCCCGCTCGAGCAAATCGATGAACAATGGGAGGACAATGACAGTGATTGTCATTTGGGGGTAGGGGTAGGTGAGGGTGACACCAGACAGTGCTCAGGGTTTACTCCTGACTCTGTGCTCAGGTGTCACTCCTGATGGGGCTCACGGGACCACACAGGATGCCAGGGATCGAATTGAGGTCTTCCCCTTGCAAGGTAAACACCCTACTCGCTGGACCATCCCCTGGTCCCTACAACTTCTGTCTTGAGCTGTTTCTTTCACAGGTTTAATCTTGTCTCATTCCTTCCCTCTCCACCTGAAAAGCAAGCTGTGATGGGGACAGCAACCCAGCTACAGGTCTAGTAAGAGACCAACCAAAGCCACATGGGAAGTCTTGGAAGGGAAAATCGGAGCTCTGGCAAGGCCTGAGGTGGCTGCAGACAGGGCTGCATTATTATCATCTCATAAGAAAACGGGCGATAAAGCCACCCAGGTCATTAAAGAGTCACTTTCCTTACTGGGGGAAATCATGAGATACAATGATGTATTATCACAACCTGCTGGGCAAAGGGTGATTAACTACAAGAATGGAGGACTAATGCAGATTGCGACTATAAAATAGACTGTGTAAAAGGTAAAAAATCATACATGTATCTGTATATATCATTTATAAACAAAGCAGGCAAACCAATTTAAAGTTTTGGATGGTCATATAAAACCGGATTTTTCCAATAGGTCAAAGATATACTAATTATGACATCTTATTATCTCATTCCTTCTTTGGACAAACTGGCAGGCTACCGAATGTAACCTGCCCACACGGCAGAGTCTGGCAAACTCCCCGTGGCGTACCCAATATGCCAAATACCAGTAACAATGATGGGTCTCATTCTCAAGAGCCTTGAGTATAGCACTTTCTTAAAAATCTCAGGGCTAGGATGAAGGAGACGTTACTGGGGCCTGCTCGAGGCAATCGATGAATAACAGGAAGGTCGTGATACTAATGTGGGGGGCAGAAGGTATATCTATGACCAAATACTGACTATAAAATCTGTGATATTAACTAAGCTTTAGCACCTTCAATTTCTTCTTTGCTTTACCTTCTTTACCATTGTAGTTTCCACTGCACGTAAAACCTAGACCAGGTGTGTGTGAAGGGTTGCGTCTGAAAGCAAAGCCATCCTCCTTTCATTTGGTACACAGTAGCTTAAAGTCTGCTCAAATTGGAAATAATGACCTTATGAAGTGTGTGCAATCCTGCGTTAACTTGTTGTCATTCTCATCGTTACTAAAATTGCAGCCAAATACTCACCCTGCGCCATGAAGGGCACATCAGCTTCATGAAAAACACCAGCTGTGCCCTCTAGACAAAATCCCAAAGTGTAAATGCAGTTGAGTTCTTAAGAATACGAGAAACCCTGTGTTGCAATCTGTATCAGTTCAGAACTTCCCAACACAGAAATTAAAAGATTCAGCCACCCTTACTTTATAGTCTCAATAAATACAATGCTGCTTTTGATATTTAAAAAAAAAAAAGAAATACAAGGTAGATACATCAAGAGATATAACTCTGTTTTCCTTTGCTCCTGAACCCACTCAACTGCCATCTAAAACAAAATAAATTGGCGTCCCTTATTTCCTGGAGAGGGATGATGAGATTAAGACTATTGTAATTTTGGCAAGACAATAGTGTCAGAGTTGAGGGTGCATTTGTTGAGATCTAGGCCTTCTCTTAGAGCATTCTTCTCCCTGCCTCTCCCACTACTTCTTCTGCTTCGAGCAAGATGATTAATATCAATGACTTCGTAAAACTCTGCCTGGTCAGCGAGGCTGAGAGCTTTCTATTCCAACGAGATCGAGGTATGGAGTTAATGAGAAGCGAGGCTGTGGGGAATGAGTAGGAACGTGCCAAAGCTGAAGTAATTGAGCATGAATATCAAAATCTGACTTGGGAACTGTCTTCATTTGCTGCTGGGAAGTCGGGTCAGTTGGTGGGCAGATGGGCTGTGTACAGATGTTCCAGAATCTCCATACCCTCACACCCTGTAACTTTATTTTCTAGGTGCCTTTGTTTTCTGCAGCTATGTTCTTCTCCTTTTTTTCTTTTTCCTTCCTTAACCTTAAAATATTTCCTCCTGGGACCATACAGGGATTAGGGTACTTGCCTCGCCCATGGCCAAGCTCACTTCAATCCCTGGTGTTGCCTATGGTACCCCTCCCGCAAGGAGGGGGTCCCTCAACACAGAGCCAGGAGTAAGCTCTGAGTGCGTCCAAGTGTAGCCCGGAAAATCACATATCCCTTCTGAATTTATTTCATCCATCCCCTAAGTCTTATCAAGAATCTAAAGTCTTAGAATTTAATTAACTCCTATTTTAAGAATATAGATCACTTGCAAGTGCCAATACAGAGTAACACAGACAATGGTGTTTTGGCTAGAATAATTGCAGAAGCTTTTATTTTTATTTAAAATGCCGGCATTGTCCTTCCAAAGCAGGGGAAAAATATTAATCGCTAAGATACATTTGGATGTGTATCTTCTACTACTCTCAGGTATATTGTTTGTGATCTTAAATGCCAAGAATCTCTGGAAAATATGTACAATGGAAACAGGATGAAGCCTGTTTAATATGCTGCTCATTGTTATTAATTTCAAGTCAACAAATATTTTTATTCAGAACAGAGTAGTAAGAGCAGTTTCAAGAAAACAGAATAATGAAGAAAAAAAGGTAGATTCAAAAGTGATATAAGCAGCCATCTATGCACTTTTAGAAAAGAAATTTAATGACACACCCTTTATAAAGAACTTTTAAAAGTTTAGAATGCAAAGATAAGGATTCAAAAATGTATAATGATTGTGAACCGGTCAGATAAAATATCGTTCATTCACTGACTGAAATAAAAATATTTGTGAAAACTATCACTCAAGGCTGGAGCCATAGCACAGCGGGTAGAACATTTGCCTTGCATGTGGCCAACCCGGGTTCGATTCCTCTGTCCCTCTCGGAGAGCCGACAAGCTACCGAGAGTATCCCGCCCATAGGGCAGAACCTGGCAAGCTCCCGTGAGGTATTGGATATGACAAAAACAGTAACCATCAGTCTCACTCTGGAGACATTACTGGTGTCCACTCAAGCAAATCGATAAACAATGGGAGGACAGTGCTACAGGGCTACAGTATCATTCAAGGTGATATAAGCAACAATATATTAAATGAGTCTATGTAACTCATTTAAAATATAAAAGCTACTCAATGCCCATCTAATGACGCTGGAATTAGAACCAACAAGATGGTTCTCACTTGTCTGAATTTTCATTTGGATGTGCACTGAAATGGCTATTAAAAATATTTAAACAACCATGTAATAAGCTTCTAACCCTGTACATATACATCAAGAAAGCCCAACAGTGAACCCAACAAAAATGACCCTAACAGAAATACCTTAAGCATAAACATGTTTACCTGAACTGTATAGTAGTCTCTAACTTCAGGCCTAATGGAATCAAAGTCTCCACTGATGAATTCAGGCAAAAAGCTGAAAGAAAAAGTTTCAAGACAGCTAAGTTAGACTACTTACTTGTTCGACTTTAAAGCAATGAGCATTGCAATTCGATTGTTTTAAATAATATAATCATGACTTTTAAGGACTAGTGAGTGAATTATGTATTCAAAAGGTAAAATAAGAGTCAATTTTAGAAGCAAATGGAGCATCAAACCTCATACTCTTTGTTTCACTACATTATGATTTGATTTTATTTTTGTATTTGAGCCACACCCAGCAGTGTTTAGAGCTTAATTTCTGCTCCTCACTTGGGGTTCACTCCTGGTGGGCTTCGGGGGAAGACAATATGGGGTGCAAGCAAGTGCCTTATCCACTGAACTGTCTCTCTGGCTCCTCTTTATACTATAATTGAAGGGAATTCTATCTACTGAGCTAATTCTTCATCAATAAACATGTTGATTTTAAAAACTGAAGATCAAACATTATTGGTGCAAAAATCTTCTAGTTCAAAACCCCAACACAGGTAATATACATATTACATTCTAAAAGTATTTATACTATTGCTGTTTTCTCACCCAAGTTTGGAACTTTCAATAGATCTGAACACAATTGATGAGTCTTAGGCATTCCTTTTAAAGTCAGAGTCAGCTCCAAAACATTTTCTCAATATCCTGTGACATATTTTACAGAAGCAGGGCAGAAGAATAAAAGAACAAAAAAATCCCCAAAGGTACTTCTAATGACATCACAATGATCTCATTTCTCTTTCTACCACTAATCTTTAAGAACTCATTTCAGAAAGTCATCCTCTATTACTTTACATAAAAACATCAACAGGACCCAGCAGAATTTCTTCCCATTTCCAACAACTGACAATGGGTCAAGGAAAATTTCCCTGGATTTTGTAGTGTTCTTTCCCAAAGCCTGTTTCTAGAGCCTGCAAAATGCACGGAACATAGGACGGAAATGGCTGTCTAAATTTCTTCCACTGGTCCCTCCTCACATACCAGGAAAAGTATATCCATTAACCATTCATCAAGTTCAGTGTCCTGATCAAAAGAGCAGCACATCTTCTCTTTATCCTCTCAAGGGTACTGTTACATGCCTCCATAGACTTGTCCCTAAAGAACTAGAGTGGGGAGTTCCAGTTCCTTGGGTACCAGGAAACAAGAGCAATGAAATGATGTAATCTAGAACTTACAGGCATTGTAGGTCATAAAGACAAAGACGGGGGGGGGGGGGGAAGGGGAGGGGTACCCTGACTTCTGAGGAGACTTCATGGCAATTCCAGTGGGTTCGAGTCAAGTTCATGAAACTTGCCTCCCACAATGGGAGAAACACAGCTACCTCCTCACTCAATTACTTGAGAACAAAGTCATCTCCTCCTTCTGCACCAGGGCAGTGTAACTCTGTATGAACACAGGAGGAAGAATGTGTTCTCTGCCTGGATCAGAGGAAAAGGAGAAGGTGGACATCTGACTGGGCATGCTGTGTAGACACCAGGGAAAAACTAACAGGGATGGTTACGAAAACTTGAAATCTCACTTTGCCCTTTTGTACATATATTTCAAGTTCCTGACTCAATTGAAACAATCACCTTTTAAGTCGAATCTACTCAAACTAGCCCGAGTTGGACCAAATCTTTAAATTATGGTCTAGAACTAAATATTAAGTTTAGTTCGAGATCATACATACATACATGCATACATAAAAACCACATAAATTGCTGAGATTTTTATTATTTTTCTTTTAAAATTAAGCATAATAGCTATTTATTGAGCTTCATATCTTTTGGGGGTGTGTGTATGTGTGTGGGTGTGTGTTTCCTTTTGCGGGAGACGGGGTGCCCCATACTGGAGAGTGCTCAGTGATTCCTAACTTTTTGTTCAGGAATCACATCTGGTGGGGCTTGAAAAACTATATGTGGAGGTGGGAATGGAACTCAGGTTAGACAGGTGCAAGGCAAGCACCCTCCCCTCTGAACTATTGCTTTGGCTCTGAAATTCTTGTTAATACAATGTTGACATTAATCAACTGACCACAGAGCTAGTCCAGCAGGAAAGGTACCAGGGTTAGAGCCCCAGCACTGCATACAGACACCAGAGCAATGCCAGGAGTGATCCCTGAGCACAGTGCCAGGAGTAAGCCCTTGAACATGGCAAAGTAGGGCCCACAAACAAACAAACAAAAAACAATAACAAGAAAATCTCCTGTTTTCGATTTTATATCTTTTAGAAAAAAGATATAAAACTTGAAATCTCACTTTATATCTTTTTTTTTTTCGGCTTTTTGGGTCACACCTGGCGATATGCAGGGGTTACTCCTGGTTCTGCACTAAGGGATTACTCATGGTTGTACTCATATGGGATGCCATGGATCCAACCCGGCTGGGTCTCATGCAAGACAACCAACCTACCTGCTGTACTATTGCTTCAGTCAAACAACAACAACAACAACAACACTATCATATATCTTAATCCTTATATGACTGAGAATAGATGATCAGGTTTTTTATTTTTTTATTTACAAAATTTCACTCAGCATGCTGAAAGTAGACTAAAGACCAAATATTATTGCCGCTCAATGCCTCTTTTGCAAACCTCAGCACTCAAAAGGAGAGAGAGGGAAATGCCCTGCCACAGAGGCAGTGTGGGATGGGGGATGGGGGGTGGGAGGGATACTGGGATCTGTGGTGGTGGGAAATGGGCACTGTGGAGGGAATGGGTATTTGATCATTGTATAATTGAAACCCAAGCACAAAAATTTGTAAGTCTACAACTGTACTTCATGGTGTCTCACTAATAAAATTTTTTTAAAAAAATTCACTCCTTCTCTAATTTTCTTTAAAACGACTCCACCAACCATCTCTGACCACAGATTAAAATTTACAGAGGTTACAGAATATTTGTGCTTTTTGTGGCCTGAATATTTGTGTGCCCTCCTTCTGTTAAAATCTGAACACACACTATCATGCTGTTGGGGTTGGGATGAGGTCAAGAATGGATTAGCACCTCCTATAAGACAACTCAAAGAGATCTCTTGCCCAAGAGTGGGCCAACAGCCATCTATGAATCAGACACCGAACTCACCTCCCCATATGATCAACCAGCTGAACATGCCTGGGGTTCTCAGCCCTGTAGCTGCGAGAGGTAAGTTTCTCTGGTCCCTAAACCACACAGTATGCATCATTCTGGTAGTGCAGCTCAATGGCTTCAGGCAGAGCTGGGAATGGAGTTAAAACTAAGACGTGTAGCAAAGTTCTGTCGGCCTGGCCAGTATTCAGTCACTATGTAGAGCAGTCAATTCAACTTAGAACTCTGGTGCTGGTGCAGTCCAAATCTTCCATTTTAGTCAGATACTGCTCAATATCTTGTAGACCCCCAGAAAGTGAAAAATCAAGATATTAATAATGTCAATAAAAATGAAGCTGATACACACACCCAGCTTAACTTTTGTCTCTTTTGGACATATTTTAAGAGCAGAAGATCTCTTTTTGGACTTTTACTGGAAACAACAAAGAAAAGCAATCATGAAAAGACACCTATTTTTCATATAAAGTAATAAAAAAAGAGCAAAGACTGGACAGATACAAGATAACTAACCATGGCTAACATTTTATAATATTGTTATCTCCCATATAACATATATGTTTTTAAAATGAACCAGGATGCTTATTTCTAAGACTTGTGTCAGATATACCTGGTAGACATGCTGTGATGAGTAACCTAATCACAACTGTTAACAACGTATGACATTTTGACAAGCTTCTGGATTACACTTTGGGGCACTACAATTCAAAGTACACAGTATAATGTCTGAGGCACCTATTGCCATGACAGTTCAAGCATCCTGAAAGGTCTGTATCGGAGATGCCACCTCAAAGACAGAGAGGAGGTACACTTATTAAGGACTATTTGCACTGGAAAATTGCGAGCTCTCTGGATACTGACTGCACACAGCGGTTTGATGGTGGGTGTGTGGAACTGTGTTCAGGCTGATCACATTTCTGGCCCTAGTTGGCCCCAGATAACAACAGTGCATTTGTTCATGGTATTTGGAATCTAAGGGCATGCCTATTGCTTAAAACTAAAGAAGGTTCTGGAAACTCCAGGAACGATACATCTTTCTTTGGTATCTCCACTTTTCCTCTTCCTGTGTGGGACTCAGTCGTAAGCTAAAGATCTACCACACACAACAGTTGAGAAGGATGTTGGTATGTTTAGAAACTGTATAAAACACGTGTATAAACATTATGCTACAGTCTTTCCTAAGACATTTCCAGATTCAGGAAAAAAGTTATATCCCCAAAGATGCAACTATTCCCTTAAAATATCCATAGCACCAAAGCTCCTATTTCCCATTTCATTTTATGTAATGTCTTTCAACATCTTCGAACTTGACTTGATTCGAAGTTCTCTGAGGCTGTATCTTTTTCTGGGTAATTAAAGTGTTTCCCCCAGACACGAGGGACAAAAAGGTTGAAAATGAAATCGTGGAGTGAAGATCTGAAGAAAAAAAAAAAAAGAAGAGGGGTAGGGGAAAGAACAACATGGATGATTATGGGAGAAATCAAAACAGAAAGTACAGGGAACTATGTAGCAGTTAGAAAAAATGAAGTCATGAAATTTACATACAAGTGGTACTACATGAAAAATATCTTGCTAAGCGAAATGAGTCAGAAAGAGAGGAACAGACATAGAAAGACTGCATTCATCTGGATAACATAAAGTAACAAAATAAGAGTCTAACACCCAAGAGCGGCTGTGATAAATACCAGGTTGTTCACTCCACGGCTTAGAGGCCAGCTGCACACTCCAGGGGTAAAGGCAGCTCAGATAGAGAAGGCAGCACCAAATAAAGGGTGCTGGTAAGATCCACCCAGGATGGGAGATGCATGCTGAAAGTAGTCTACAGACAGAACTTGATTGCCACCCAATGTCTCTTCTGCAGACCACAGCACCCAAAAGCAGAGATAGAACAAAAGGGAGTGCCCTGCCACAGAGGCAGGGTGGGATGGGGGATGGGAGGGGTGG